AGGAAGGAAATTCTCCACTGGTCGGAATCATACCCACAACAAGGCAACATGGTGGTGGTTGTGGAGGCCAATCACTTTAGCTCCAGGAATCGCTGCAGGATCTCCTCAGAGCAGAGTCCTTGACCCAACCATCTTTGGCTGTTTCATCAAAAATCTTCCTTACAGCATAAGTTTAGACATGGGGAAATTCACTGATGGTTACACAATGTTCGGTACCTTTTGTGACTCGTTGCAGACTAAAACTATTTGTGCCTTCATTCAACAAGGCTTGAATAACATTCCGTCCTGGGCTGATAAATGGTAAGAAATACTCATACCAGGCAAGAAATACTCACACCAAGCAAAAACCATCTCCAACAAGGGAGAATCCAAACATTTACCCCTGACATTCAAAAGCATTACCAGAATTGAATTCCAACCAAGTACACTGTTGAAGTCACTACTGACTAAAACTTAAGCTAGAAAAGCCATCTAAACCTTGTTGGTAAAACAGCAATTAAGTGACTTACTCACCTCCTGTGTTCTCAAAGCCTCTTCCCCATCTACCAGGAACCAGCCAGAAATTTGATGAAAAACTCTACACATGCCTTTATGAGTGCAGCTCCAACAATGCTCAAGAAGACCTTCTAGAACAAAGCTGGTAGTTTGAGCATCACCCTGATCCATTACCTTAAATATTTTCTACCTCCGCTACTGATAGAGGCAGCGGTGTATATCAGATACAAAATGGACCACAGCAACTCACCAAGCTTTCTTCAACAGCACTTTCCAAACCTGCAAAGTCTACCACCGAGTAGTTCAAAACCACAAATGCATGGGAATGCCACCACCTGAAAGCTCCCCTGAAACTCATACATGATTAAAACTTGGAACTATATCACCATTCCTTCAATGTTGCTGGGTCAAAATCCTGGAACTCTGTTCCTAACTGAATGACATTAAGTGGACAATAGTGGTTCAAGAAGGCAACTCACACCAAACATTTGGAAATGGGCAACAAATGCTAGCCTTTCCAGTGGTGCTGGGACCTCATGTAAATTTTCTTATAAACTGCAATATATTTATTCTACAAGTACAAATTTAATATTCTATGAATACTGCAAGTTCACTGCATACATCTATGTAAATGAGTTTTAAATGTATCTTTCTGTTCAGTAGTTCGAGGGGACACTTTAAACACATGTAAATGATAAGCAAATCTAAAGATGTTAAAATAAACTAAGTCAATATCATCTAGTAAATGTGCGGACATTTTCTTTTGCATCATTAAATAAACACATGTAATTTTCCGAACATACTTTCGCTTCAAATTTTGCTGATTATATTAAGCAATGAAAATAAGTGGATTCCACATAAATATTGAACTGATGTTAGTGTTATAACATATCTTTATTCTTAAAAAACCGAAGCCCCCTAATTTGGAAAAAAAAAGTCTTTGATCAGATGCATTGAATCACTACTTTTCCATTGCACACAGTCAGATTTCCCTGTGACACATGCATTGCATCCAAGCTCAAAAATCAATAAACGTACCTGCAGAATATAATGAATTTGGCCTAATTAGAAATATCTACATTTGAAAAGGAAATAAGCCATTCTAGAGAGAGACCACAAGTTAAAAAAAATTACTGTATAATGTATTTCATAAAGCCATTTAAACAGGGTCAACTTTATCTGGGGTACAAACAATTCCAGATAACATCAAAACTAACTGGTGCACAAAGGCAAGGAAAATAAAAAAGTACTTGATCTAACAGTTAAATGTAAAACAGCAGGAGTTCATTACACATACCTCTGCATTAACAGGCACTAACAGATAAAGTCAAGAAACAAGCGACCCAATTGGCTGAGTAGCTGGCTGTAAAGTGTGATAACAAAGTGAATTCCTAAATACTGATATCTAAGAATGTTAATAATGAAGGTTTCCATTGCCCTCATGACTTTATATTTCAAACCTTTATCCTACAGTAAGCATGCTTAAGCACGTCTCTGCAAACTAATGTTCCCCTTTATAAAATTCAGTGTAGTTTGATAGAATTGAAAACATTACAAGTTAGAAACCTAAGTAAACAATTTGACTAAAATAGCGCTTCTCAACATCCTTTGTGCAGAGCCCTCATGCTTTGTAAATTCCATGTCTGAATCCTTCCAATCAGGTTTCACCCTGTCGCCATTCCAAATTGGCTCCAATAGGATAGAACTTCTGAAGTTGATATGATGGTGACAAAGGCAAACAACGCATCCCTCTCCTTCTCAAACCATCTGCAGCCTTAGACAAGTTTGATCATACATCCCCCTTCATTGCTCCTTCACTGTTATGCAGCTGGTATCATTCTTATCTTAGTGTAGTTGAAGAATCACTTGCGATGTCTTTTCAATCCCAAGCCATTACCTCCACTGTTTCCGAAGCATTTATGTATGCTGCCCCTTCGATGACCATTATCCAGTATCATATCAGTTTTACATGTACATTGACACCACACAGTTCTATATCACCACCAACCATTTCAACTTATCCACTGAGATTAAATTGTCAGACTGCAGACAAGCAATCTGACACCCAGCACTGGATGAGCTAGCATTTTCTACAATTGAATGCTGGGAAAAATGAAGCCATTGCTCCTGTTCCATGTCACAAACTCCATTCCATAGACAATGACACAGCCATTGTCTCTATCCCTCTCCCTTGTAACTATTTGAGGCTGACCAGGCTGTTCACAGTCTTGGTGTTCTACTTCACCCGAAGATGAGTTTTTGATGATATACCAAAGTTTCACTTTGTGAACTATTACCAATTCTGTGATTTTACATGACTCAACCGCTGTTTCATCTCATGTGCTGCAGAAATCCTCATCTATGTTGGTGCTACCTTTAAACTTGGCTATTCCAATGTATTGCCATCTCACATTCTATCTTCAATCAACACTGGTTTTAGCCTAACGTTTACTTACATAAAGTTTAATTCATCCTTTTTTTTATAATCAAAGGCTGTATTCTTATTTAGTTAATACATAATTTTATTTTATGCCAGATTAGTAAAAGCTTTATTAACCAAAAAAAAATGAGCATCAAAAAGACTCTACAATGCCATTTTCAAACAGTTTTCATAGATGCTAAATCAAATTTATTGATATTTATAATGTCTGTTCTCCCACAAATCTTTCAAGATTGTAAAAATGTCATGGTATTTCTTGCTCTTCAACTACTCTTGGCATGAAGCAACCCCACATCCACATACTTCAAATTAAACTTCTGCTCAAAATATTTAAATTAAGAAGTAGGTGTGCATCAACCACAAGATTCCAGTTCTTCACTGATTTCTCCAAGCAGATGTATATCGAGCACAACAGCAATAATAACTAAATACCATGGTAATAAATATTGTTTTACTTTTATGTTCATATTTTCAGTGTTTTATTCTGCTCAAAATACATGTAATGCACCGAACTCTATCATGTAAACATGTAAAAATGTTTCTGGAGAACAGGAAATATTTAGGAAGTATGTAAAATATTTTATCCACTCCATTGAGTGAAAGGCTTAGTTAAAAAACAATATAGAATGCAGAAGTAAACCATCTGGTCCTGGTTTGTGCCACATGTTTATACTGTATACGTCTGTCATGTTAATTAATTCTGCCCACGTTACCACTATATCCCTCTATTTCCTTCTTCATAATGTAGACATCAAGTCTTCCCATAAGCACTCAATGCCATCGTTTCAAGCACTTCACATAATAACACCTTCCGAATTATCACTGCAACATATTTAGAAATTCCTGCTAAGTTTTTCATTTGATCAGTTACCAATTACCACCTATCAGAAATAGTTTCTCCATATCAGGCCTCCTGTTAGCATCTTTGTATACAGACTCAAGTCCCAGCTTGCTCAAACCTTTCTGACATATGCACGTTTTCAATTCCGCTAACACCCTTGTAAAATTCTTCTGCATGTCTTCAATATTTCAATATTTTGTTTTTAATATCAAAACTGCACATGGTATTCCAAGAGTGGTTTAACTGAGGTTCTGCAGAAATCTAACATTAACTTCCTGCTTTTGTATTCTATTCACCTATAAAGCAACCCCAGTATTTCAACTCCAGTACTTTGCTAGTGCACTTTGTAATCTTGTCAAATCATGCTGCTGCTTCTACTGATTTCTGTATTGAACTTCACTTAACTGGAAGAAACCCACTGCAATACTACTCCTATACCACTGTCATCCAGGTAACGTTGAGTATTGATTATGTTGTTGCCAGCCCTCCATGTGCCGAACTGATATGTCAAGTCTCAGGCAGGAATTCAAATCCATTCCAGACAGATGGAAAGAAAGTTTCATCTCTTTGCCAGCTGTAACAATCTTAAATGAAAATATTTGCAATTCTCCACTATTCTGACAGTTTCATTCAAGAGATTGTACTTTCAACAACAAGGACCTTTGTTGAGAGTCAGAACAGGGCATACCAGCTTAAATTGAACTTTATATCATGTGATGTAATTTATCTTGAATTATTTCATGTTGGCACTGTGCCCCAAAAGTGGAAAAATGATCATTCATCAATACTAACCTCTTTTCCCAAGTCAGACAAAAATGAAGATCCAACATATACAGACATGAAAATGTTATTAGCTTACAATGAAATCTCTGATATCTGCCATTACAGGAGAACTACTGCTACGAACAATGAAAATTAACAGATAACCAAGAATATCCAAATTTTCATTATTATCACTAACAATACCCAAGGCATAGGAATCAAGAGAAGTATAATACAAATGATATAAAATTAGGTTGACTTATGACAGATTGGAAGAGCTAAGTAGTGGCAGACTGAGTAATGGAGTAACTCTGAGATTGTAAAATACATGAAAATAAATAGTTGGAGCACTAATTTAGGACCCACTGTGAGCAATACAATGTGCTAATAACAAGCATGAGCAGACAACGTTATTACATGCATTGAAATAAAATATTTTACATTCCTTCAAAGCAAACTTACCAAGATAATTATCATCTTCTGGTTTCCCTGAATAGCTGTGCTGACGCACATCAATATTTGTAGCACCAATTGGTATTCGTACAACTACATTATATCCTGGGAAATATCAAACAGGTATTCTAAATGCACACTCAGAATGCAGTGTAAAGAACTAAAATGCATTATAACATTCATTTTTAAAGCACTGACGATAATACAGAAAACGTATTACAACTGAATCAGTATCATTGGGATTACTTAAATGGTTGATATTGATTTCAATACATTAAAAAAATATTGTTTCAAGCCACCAGATAATAGCAGTTAGCCCAATTTGCACATATATTGCATGAGTGAGAAATGCCCTTGCATGAAGCAATACAAATAAAGACACAATTTGTTCTCTTTGATCTAAATTGAAACAAAATAACAGTAGTCTTTTTTGAAGAAATGGTCTGATGGTTGTAATTTAAAATTGCTAATATCTCACATTTGTGGATCAGTATACGGATTAGAAGCCACAGCAGTGCATAGCATCTCAAAAACAATAACATTCTATTGTTGCTATTGGGTTAAGAAGGACACAACCTATCCTTTGCAAAGCAAAATAACAGTGGTGAATTATACTGCAATAAACACTGTCAGAATACCATTAATGCATATTTGTGTTATGATCCGAATGATACAAAAGCTGACACTGTGTTTGGATATGGTAAGTTTATCTGCAAGTTCCATGGTAATTAACACTTTTTAAAAAGTTATTGCTGTGGTGAAGTAAAAGGACAACTAACAGTCTAAAGTTTTATTTTAAAACTATAGCATGCTAAAATAATTCGTATTTTAGAAATTCAAAGTATGTGGCAGTGCACTAGCAGAGTATAATTCTCAATATTGGAGGCCCAGGATTAATTTCACATGTGAAATCTTGATTAATTTCACTGGAAAGCACAAAATTATATGCAGTATTCTAAAAGTGGCCTCACCAATGTTCTGTACAATTGCAACATGACGTCCAAACTCCAACGCTCAATGTTCTGACCAATGAATGCAAGGATGCCAAACACCTTCACCATCCTGTCTACATGCTTTTAAGGAATTATGCACCTGCACCCCTAAATCTCTATTCAGCAACACTCCCCAGGGTCCTATCATTAATTGTATAAGTTCTGTCCTGGTTTGCCTTGCCAAACTGCAACACCTTGCATTTATCTAAATTAAAACTCTATGTGCCCCTCCACGGCTCATTGGCCCATCTGATCAAGGTTCCATTGTCCTCTGAGATAACCTTCTTCGATGTCCACTATGCCAACAATTTTGGTGTCAACTGCAAACGTACCATTCATGCCTCCTATATTCACATCCAAATCATTTATATAAATGAAGAAAAGCAGTGGACCCAGCATCGATCCTGTGGTACACTGCTAGTGACAGGACTCGATTCCAAAGAGCAACCCTCTACCACAAGTTCTGTCTCCTGCCTTCAAGCCAATTTTGTATCCAATTGGCTAGCTCTCCCTGGATCCCATGTGATCTAACCTTATTAATCAGTCTACCATGCGGAATCTTGTCAAACGCTTTGCTGATATCAGTATAGACAACATCTACTGCTCAGCCTTCATCAATCTTCGTCACCTTTTCAAGAAACTCAATCAAATTAATGAGACATGATTTCCCACACACTAAGCCATGTTGACTGTCTCTAATCAGTCCTTGCATTTCCAAATGCATGTGAATCTTATCCCTCAGAATTCCTTCCTACAACTTACCCACCACTAATGGGCCACTAGTCCATAGTTCACAGGAATTTCTTTACAGCCTTTCTTAAATAATGGCACAACATTAGCAAACCTTCAGTCTTCTGGCACCTCACCTATGGCTATCGGTGATACAAGGGGCCCAAAAATCTCTTCCCCTGCTTCTCACAAAGTTCTGGGAAACACTTGATCAGGTTGTTGAGTAGCATATTTACTGACAGCTACAGCATCCACTTATTGATTACTTTTATAATTCAAGACATATTAAAATTCATAAATTATTGCCATCTCGTGTTTTTTTTGTTATAATCCTAAGAGCAATTGATAAAGGCAAATCTTAATGGCCAAACTGTTGTTTATTTTTTGGTAGGTAACTCTTGGTACATTTTAACCACAGCCACCAATATTTCATGTTCTATTGTTTCTTACAGAAGTAAAACAACTATGACTTCTTTCAAACAAATAGCAGTAAAGCTCAATCAGCTTTCTTCATATGCATTCAAATACATTTATTAAATAAATATAACTTCTATGGGAATAAAAAAGATTCTGCTCGAGTTTTTTTAAAATTAATCTGACTTAAACTTAATGCCCTTAGCAACAATACACATCTTATAACAATGAGGTGAATACAAAGCTTACCATAGTGAACACTATTAAAGGTGCCTGCTAAAGTTTTACATGAAGAATTATCACCACCACAAACACCACATTTATCTCTACGTGCTTTTGAATTTAACACATGGTCACATCCAGCTTGCTGAGGGGGAAAAAAAAACATTAAGTTTAATTAGTTTTGTACTGGCTACAAATGTAAATTTGAAAAATTTGCACAAAATCCTTCAAGTCAGTACATACCCGGCAAAGTCCTTGTACACAAACATCGTTGGTTTCTGGCCCACAAAGTGTGCCATCAATAACTCTGTCCCTGAGCTGATAGTAGACTGTAGTTCCAGCTACTCTGCAGAATAACTTGCAACGGTCTTTCATCAAAACTGAAACAAAAGAGATTTTTCATTTAATGTATAAATCATCTTTCGTTGCTTAAAATGTAAAATATGTCTTTCCCTATATTAATGGAAATACTCACTTCCACTGTATTTAGGAACCCAACGCACATTTGGAGGTAAGCCATTGATATTGAAGTGTCTTCCGTCAAACTGTGCGCACTGTTCTCCTCTGAAGTCTCTCTCTTGCTTTGGACAATGTTCGGTGTTGCATGATCGAAATTTCATTCTTCGACCAACGCAGTATTTTCCTCCATTTCTTGGCCTGCAGTCAAAAATACTAATCTTTCCTTTTCCACAATGCAATACATAAGTTAAAACATGAAACTTCTGTACAGTGAAAGACTACCATTCAAAAAGACTACTGCATATCATGAATACAAATTTTGAAATACTGACAGATGAAGGGAATGCATTTGCCGTTCAAAATTTGATTAAGTACTTTAAATATTGAAGTAATTTGCTTACTCTGGTTTGTTGCATTCTCGAACCGCATTTTTAATGCCACCTCCGCAGCTTCTAGAGCAGGACCCAAATGGACTCCAAGGTCCCCAACTCCCATCTACCACAGAGGTTTCAATAGGATCCTTTGCAATGCAAACACCATGTTTGCAATGCTGTAAAGACAAGCATTGGAGAGACATTAAATTTTGTCTTTGGAAAGCAGCAAAATCATAAAATCTATTTCAGAGAAATAACCTCAATAAGTTTAATCTGAAACATTAAATTTGTAAAATAAGATTATATTTATCTCTGAGTCAATATAGCTCAACTTCACTGCACACAATGATTTGCTTTGTCCCTTAGAAAAGCTGATTGAGTAATGTATTTGATAGGAAAAAGCAACCATTCAACATTTTAAGGTTGGCTGGTAAACACAAAATGAATCAGTCTGCTGATCCTTATCACTTCCCCACTATTTCTCAAAGGGAAAGAAGTGTGTGATGACAGAAAACAAAATGATAAGTTATTTGCTTCCGTCATAAAAAAGATTTAATATTCTGTTTCAAATTGCAAGGTGTTACAAAGAGTCCAAATTCACTCCAATAATTAATACATAAGTAGAGACTTAAAAACTTAATTGCATATTCAATCATTTAAAAATAAATTCAGGACAATGGAATAATGGATTTACACTTTTAACTTAAATGCATTTTCTCAATAAAATATCAATGGTGAAAAATGGATTGTTGCCCTTGAACAATAAATATATATAAATATGGATCAATTTATAGGAGGCGTTGTCCCTGTTTTTTTTTCCAGCCTGCACACTTCTATCTGGAGCATTAGGCTGAGGCTGAAGGAGCTGAGGTCCAGGAAGGAATAAACTCATCTATTATTAGGATGAGAAACACACTTCCAGCAATTTTGTCATTAAGGCTGGGAGCTGAATGATCAAATCAAGAAAATGTCAGGAATTCATACTAATGATGCAGAAATAACCATCTGAGGTCTTCAACACCTTTTTTTTTCAAAATCAATTCTACATCGATACTGTCTCATCGATACGGAATAGAATTGGACATCTAAGATTGCCAGGTAATAAGAGCTGGCCAGAACACCTAAAAGATCAAAAAACTTATATTTTTGCAATTTGAAGCTGTGCTGTAAAAAGTTTAGTTTCCCTCTGAACACCATTACTCCATAAATGGATTGGGAAAGGGAGGCTCTGATGTGAGCTGCTGCAAAGGTAATGGAATGTCAGTAAGTTGACCTACTTCTTTACTCACTGGTGACTAATTTTACTTTCACATATGAATGGTACAGTAGGAGGTCTAAACTCTCAAAGTATATAGCAACAAAAGGTCGGATGAAACATTCTGCTGGATGGTCCTTGGGAACATTCCACTCTTGACATGTCACGGTGCTCAGTAAAATTACATTTGCCAGATTGTGCAGTTTGATCACCCCTTGATCACCAAATAAAATTTCGGATATTCTAGCATCCACCTGGCAGATTTCTGTGAAGAAGTGCAAAGTTTCTATAAGGACAACTACTGTACTGCAACATAGGAATGGCAATAGCAAGTGACAGAAGCAGTCAGATGCTACCCACCTCGTACTGGAGACTTTTTTTTAAATGCCTATCATTTCTAAATCCTCTGTCCCTTCAGCCTGGCCAAAAGCTGAAAATTTGTTACAATTTTGGAGGGGAAGGGCGAGTGGGTGGGTGAGTGATAGCAGAGTGGTAATACCACTGGACTAGTAATCCAGAAACCCAGACTAAGGTTCTCGGATCATGGGTTTGAACCTCACCATCACAATCGGAGAAATTTGAATTCAATAATAATCTGGAATGGAGAGCTGGCCTAATACTGATATTTGTAAGTGTCAATGTTTGTAAAATCCATCTGGTTCATCAATGCTCCATAGGGAAGGAAATCTGCTGTCCTTACCTGGTCTGGCCTACATGTGACTCCAGACCTACAGCAATGTGGTTGACTCTTAACTGCCCTCTTTGTGATTACTAAATTACCAGCAGTGCCTACATCCCATGAAAGAAAATGATCTTTGAGCTTTCATAAAGAAAGACTTCCAGAATTGTTCTTGAGATCTCTTGTTCTACATGACATTCTTCTTTAATTATTTTCATCCTTTTAAAAACTTAACTTGCACGCAGACAGTTTTTCTGCAGTCAGTAATGTCCTTCCTAGACTCGGCCTAATTTTGATTAATAAGCTTTAACAATTAACCTGGTGAAATGATTTAATTCTATGAACATATCCTGAAGGTACAACACAATAAAATTCTTTTGTAAAAATTGAGGAACCCAATAAAGGATGAAGCCCAGAGTGTGAGAAATTTAAGTGAATCTTAACATTATTATCTGTAGGATAGCACATTTGTTCAAAGTTGAGCAGCCTACCATTCCATTATCCAGCAAATAGTATGGATAATGTTTGCAAAGCACTTACTCTTTAGTGAACATAGAGCCCAATTATTTGCAATTCAAGGCAATGGGAAGGAGGGAGATTACATATTCTATTGGACCAGTTTATCCTTTCAGTTTGAAGACTGATTTGAAACTGATCTAAATTGTTTGGATGAAAGTTTCTCAGTACTGCCTTCAAGTGGAACAAGAGGAATTTTCTAAACTACCCCTCTGACAACCACCGATAAATGGCTGAATCTTATCTGATTTTTCACATCATACAGGAAATTACATGGCTCTAGGTGAGTAGGGCTGGTCTGTATTGTTGTGCCTGGGGAATCACATTTGTATGGTAATGCTAGATGGGCCAGCTTCCCTTTTCTTTGTCTGACAGTTCCGTGCTTGCATGAGTTCAGGAAATATCCTAAATTAATTCCTCTTGGACTCATAGTCACAAAGCACAAACTGACCAAAATGTTAACCAACTCATGAAAGATTCTGGCCAATGCAAGAAATTAAAATGTCACTTTGCTACACTAGAGGGTGCTCTTCTCTCATGGGAGTTACAACATTATTAAAACAACACAGAATGTGGTTTGGTCTCTAACAAGCGATGGCCTGGGAGTGCTCAGTGCTGCTGTGGTTCAAAGGGTAAATACTCAATTTCCGACTATAAGTACTTCTCATGGTTACACCCACCAAATACTCTTAGGTAAAAACAATAAAGACAGAAGCTAGTATAACTGAGCGTGGTCCGATCAAAACATAGTTAACAACTTGCCCCTTGATGATGTGCAGCAGGCAGTGTCCGACCATGCTCACTCAACCAGCCCATTTTTGCTGAACTCAGAACATTTCCAATCATTACACATGGTTCTGTGATTGGACAACATTTATTGAAAATCCTGATTGCGCTAAGAATTACATAGAAACCAATTTAAAATTCAGTTGGGTTTTTAATGTGATTCATTTGCACATGCTAGGATATGAGAAATGTGGCAGAAATGCTGACCAAATGGCCTACCTAACCTATTCACCATTCAATGACATTATGGCTGATCTTGGGCTTCGTATCTATTTTCCATCCTGCTCCCCATATCCCTCAATTTGCTGAGACACCATATGTCTCTTTGCTCTAGCCTTAAATGCATTCAGCAATGGAACACCTGCAAACATGTGTAGTAGAGAACTCCAAAGATTTGAAAAACCCTTTGAGTAAAGTGTTTTCTTCTCATCTCAGTCCAAAGTGATCAGCCTCTTATCCTGAGACTGTACCCTGCAGCATTTCAGATTTCACATCTAACAGAAACAATCTCTGATGATTTATTTCTCAAGCCCCTTAAGAAACTTGTATGTATCAATGAGATCAACTCTCCTCCTCCAGAACAACTTAGAAGACCTTCATTGTACTGCTTCCAATAGAGGAATAGGTTGTTTTGTAAATATGAAAATAAAACTTCACATACTACTCCAGATGTGGTTTCACCAAAACTCTGTATAATTGTAAAAATATATCCTTATTCCTACACTCCAATCCCATTGCAATTAAGGCCAATATTCCATTTGTCGATTTAATTGTTTGCTGTACCTCCATAGTAACTTTTAGTGCTCAGAATTCCCCAATTTACCTTCCTTTTTAGACCCAGGTTGACAGAAAGCATGAACCATGTTTCTGTATTTAACAATAATGACTATTTATTGTTAATACATAGATTCTAGCTACAGATAAATAATTATGAAACTATTGACATATAACTTTACTTAAATTCTTAAAACCTCTATAAAGCTCCCGTACACAAACAATCAGGCAGACACAAAAAAGCGTGGGTGTTATGACAGAGGCAAAAGACTGGAAGGGCGACACAGTGGTTCAGTGGTTAGCACTGCTGCCTCACAGCACCAGGGACCTGGGTTCAATTCCACCCTTGGATGACTATCTATATGGAGTTTGCATGTTCTCCCCGTGTCTGTGTGGGTTTCCTCTGGGTGCTCTGGTTTCCTCCCACAGTCCAAAGATGTGCAAGCTAGGTGGATTGGCCATGCTAAATTGCCCTTAGAGATCAGGGATGTGTAGGTTAGGTGAGTTATAGGGGGACAGGAACAAAAACAAAGTTGCTGGAAAAGCTCAGCAGGGCTGGCAGCATCTGTGAAGGAGAAAACAGAGTTAACATTTCAGGTCCAGTGACCCTTCCTCAGGACAGGTCTGGGTGGGATGCTCTGCAGGTCAGTGTGGACTTGTTGGGTTGAACGGCCTGTTTCCATATTGTAGGAATTCTGTTCTATTCTATAGTACTTGTAGCCTTCTTTTGGGGTGACACGGTAGCTCAGTGGTTTGCACTGATGCCTCACAGCACCAGGGACCCAGGTTCGATTCCACCCTCGGGCGACTGTCTGTGTGGAGTTTGCACATTCTCCCCGTGTCCGAGTGGGTTTCCTCCCGCAGTCCAAACATGTGCAGGCTAGGTGGATAGGCCATGCTAAATTGCCCATAGTGTTCAGGGATGTGTAGATTAGGGGGATGGGTCTGGGTGGGATGCTTTGAGTGTCAGTGTGGACTTGTTGGGCCAAAGGGCCTGTTTCCACACTATAGGGATTCTATGATAGTTCAATTGTCCCTGTCCACAAGGTTTATTGACATGATTCTTTTGTCTTGTCAGGCCTTGCTGCTTCGGGGTTGGAAAGTAGAGTTGAAGCCCAAGACCTTCCTTCGCCAGGTCCTTTCACTTGCTTTCAAGAGGCACAGAG